AGAGGCCCCAGTTGCCAATTGTATAGCACCTCACTGCCATGTGCCAGTCTTCAAACTCAGTGGGCATKGTGGGAGCAGATCCTCCCTGGCTGCTCCCAGCCTCAGAGATCCCTTCTGCCCAGACTTCTCCAGCAGTTACGGCCCCCCACCTCTTTGAGTTTCTCCAACAGCACACAAACCCTGTTGTTCTAACAGTGAAACCTTCGGGGCCATGGGCCATGGCAATATATCAAGGAGAAAAAAGGCATCCATAAAACCTTTCTCACTCTGGAAATCAACTGGGTTTCTCCTCTTGGAGGTACTAACACAGCAAATCTCCAGCTGCTCCCAATCCTCCACCCCAGCACTCCTCTGAACTTTCCCCAAAATACTTCCCACATGAATCTATCTGAAGACAAAGCTGGCAAAGCCCTCCAGCCCCCACCAACCAATTCCACCACTGGGTCTTGCTTCTGTGCTGGTCTCCAGGTGCACCAGGACAGCAGCTCCACCAGGAGAGGGGCTGTTGAGTGACCTCCTGTGCTTAGCTGGAGTGAGGCATCACCTGTACAGCTGCCCAGCTTCTCCTGGAGCAGCATGGAGTGACCCTGCTTAGCACTGCTCATTTTTCTCTAGGCTTGCAAGGTTTGGAGATTGGTTCAGATAAGCATCCTCAAGCTTGCATGCTTATCTGCACCATCTCCCAAACAGCTTTGATCTGCAGGATTTGGCTGCAGCTCTCAAAGTTATCTTGGGAAAGCTTGTTCTGGAGAGAGTCATTCTCCTGATTAACAAGAAAAAGCTTTCTTAGTGGCTTTGAGCATTTCCAGCCCTGGCTGTAACCAGGGAGTGGAGCCATGTCTGCTCACAGAAAGAAGGTAAAGCCAAGTGAGCTTCTCCTTACAACTCCACTTGGGCTCTGTTGCCATTCCAGCTAAAATCTGAGGTCACTTATTTCATCTTGCTTCTTCTCCCCACTTTCTGTTTGTGGGGCACTTCTCAACCCCCACATCCTGTGCAGAATTCCTGGAAGGAAAGCTGGCTGGGCTGACAGGGAAGCAAGTCATTTGATGGGCTGGGAGAACCATGCAGGACAAGGGAAAAGGATTTGKCCAACTGAGGGCAAGTATCAAGAGGCACAACATTGCATTAAACAGCTGAAAGCAAGAGCCCCTCTAAAACCTCTAATGAAGGAAACACAAGCCACAGGTAAGGATGTGTTAATGGGGTCAGATGCTCGTTTTCCACTTTTCTTTCTGCCTGGCCACAGCTTTAGGAAATATTAGTTGGACTGAAAAGTATCRAATGTGCTGCTCTTGACAAACATCACCGGGATTCCCTCACACTCAGCCCACCATCACCTCACAYGAGACTCTTCCCTGTGGAAACAACCAAGAAGGAGGAGGAAGATGGTATTAAGGAACAGGAGGAACTGCAGAATTAGCAATGGAGTTTATAGTGAGGAAACTACCCCGAACATTTCCTGCTGGCCTCACAAAAAGGATAAATATGGATTAAAAAAACACTACTCAGGGAGGGGAAAGAAGTGTGAACAGCAAAAATATGTACATATGTTTTAAATAATTTTTTTTAATTGTTGAGGCAGTAATACTTGGTTCATGGAACTGCAATATACAGAGAGTGAAATAAATAGCTTATATATATATAATATATATAATATAGCTGGTTTTAAAATATTCCCTTATCATTGGTGTACTAGGTCATCTTGTAGTCACTTCAATGTAGTTAGCAGCATTCTCCAGAAGTGAGCTCGATGCAGGATCACGAAGCCGTGACTCCCTATGTCGTCAGAAGGTTACAGAGGATGGYTGCACCGAGGGCTCCGTGGGACACGCTCCCTGCAGCACACACCGCCTTGTCCGGGGCCGRGGCCAGAGGCAATAAATAGGTTACTGCAAAACTGGCACTTCGCGGGGCAGGGTCTCAGTAACTTTGGGAAAGAACTTTGGTTTTCTTTGGTTTTATTTATCTATTTTTAATATTTTTTTCCCTCTGGGGATATGCTTGAAAAGTCGTCCTTTCCAAAAAAAGCAATATAAGCACCTGTGTGTCATCAACAACATGAAGTCAATTTAAATAGAGCAGTTCATTTCATTTTTCAAGTCACAATAAATCCCAAACAGCTTTTCCCAGCATTTGCCATCTAGTCTTTTATTAATTTTTTTTATTTTTATTTTTATTTTAAACACAATGTACAAAAATAGAGTTTCTTCCTTATTTTTAATGTAAAAATATT